TTCACTGAGTTACGCAAGCCCCTTCGCCACGACAAGGCAGTGATCCATGAAGGGGCTACATTAATTATTTGGTGCTATATCTAAGCCATTTCTTTCTCTACCATTCTTTTCTGTCTAATCACAGTTTGGTTCTTCATAGAATTACAGAATTGGACAGGACCATTTAGGCTGTTCCAAGTAGGAATCCAAACTCAAGCATTTCTGATCACATCCAGTGAAAGGAAGCCCATCAGTTCTATTAGTAATTGGTTGTTGAACTATTACTTTTCAGAAACTTTTCCTAGTATTCAACTGTAATCTGCTGGTCTGTAAAATTAAATTCATTATTCCATGCCACACCTTATAGGATGATATAGAAGAGATTTTGTCCTTCTCTATTTGACATACAGTATTTGGGTTTTTGAAGAACATCATCATATCCTCACTCAGCTCAGTTTATTCATTCTTCATAGCACTTAATGTTTGTCTGAATCCTTCTTAAATTAAGTATATGTAATATTTGAAATGAAGCAGTAGGCCGGTGGTTGAGTTGTTGCAGGTAAAAATTCCCACCACAGTGAAAACTATCATTGAGTCATGCATGAAGTTCAAAAAATTATTTTTTTTCCCCCCAGACACAATCTCTCACAGAACTCCTAGTGACCTCGTACAGAATCCTAGGGTTCCATGAAACCCCAGTTGAGAAGGGTATTCTACAGAATTAGTTGTCTCTGACAATTTTATGCCATCTCTAAATTTTTATAGGCATTCCCTTCACTTCATTAAATTCATTAATAAAAATACTAAAGGATACAGAGCTAGGACTGAATTATATGCTACCCTTTCTAGCTTGATGAGGAACTATTATTTGAGTACTCTTGAATATGGTTGCTTGAGTTAACTCAGATCTATTTAATTGTCACACCATCCAACCCACATATAAACAGATCACTAATCAGAGTGTTATTGGGTATTTTGTCAAATGCTCTCCTGAAATCAGGAGTCTGTAGTGTATCCACTTAACTACTGAGGAAGTTACCTGGTCAAAATATGAAGTAAGTTTAATGTGACATACCTTGTTCTTAGAAAATTCATGCTCATGTCTGCTGATCACCTAATTATTTTCAGAATGTTTACCTATCAATTGCTTTATGACAGCTCTAGAATATTTACAGGTAACGATGTTAGAATAATTGATCTGTTATTCCCTGGGTCCTCTCCCCTTTTTAGGAAAATAAGGTCAAATTTGTCCTTCACCTGTCAGTTTGTGCTGTATTGCATCCAGAATCTCTGAAAGATAATACATAAAGATTCAGTCAGATTTTCGGCAAGTTCTTTGAGCATCCAATGGTGAAATTCATCTGGCCCTGGAGATTTATACTCATTCAGAAAAAAGAGGTGTTCCCTGACCTGTTTCTACCATTCTCAAGCTTCAATTCTGCCCATTCTGTTCTTCACATTTATCTAATGGGATACATTCTGGCTTCTCAGTGAAGACTGATCCGGAATCTTACGTTCTGCTTTTTTTGTTAAGTGTTACAGCATTTTGTCACCTTTATAGAGCAACTGATGCATGGATTCTTTATTTATTCTTTTATTCTGATCCTATTTGAAGACATCCTTGTGTTCTTAGGATCCTGTGTTTACCGCAGCTCACTCTGACCTTTAGTTTTCCTGATATTGTCTACAAATTTGGGCTGCTTGTGTGTCCTTTTTCTCAGTGACCTGTCCATTTTTCCATCTTCTATATGTGTCCTGTTTGATTTCTATATTTGAACCAGCTTTTTGTGCTATCATGTTGGCTTATTCTGCTGTAGTTTAATATTTCCCACTCATCTTGAGCTCCTTTTCTAATTAACTTCTCAACCAGATAGTCCTCCTTATTTTTGTTCTGAATTCATTCAAATCTACTTTCTTAAAGTACAAGCTATGCATTCAACTACCTATCAGCTGCTCCAAAATTCCAATGATCAAATTATCAGAACTTTCCAAGCCTTTTTAATGGGATTTTTGAGCCTGATTATCTGGACCTTCTCTTTATGGATCCACAGACACTGGTGGTTGATCTGTGTCAACCCTCTCCTCTGGATACATAGACACAGGTGGTTGATCTGTGTACAAGTGTTCCTTAATGTCAAGAGAGTATTCATGTCTGTATGATTTTATGGTCACTACTCATAAAAGTGTTCTTATAATGTAGGAGTGAGGCTATATTATCACATTTGTTTTTTCTTAGTATGCTGTGCCTCAAGTCATTATGAGTTTTACCTTCCCTAATTACCTTTTCTACAATTCTGGAAAATCTCTGTAGTCTTTCTTGGTGATGTGTACCTCTTTCCTAATTTTATGGGCATATTTATTTCTTTTCAGATCTTTTCTGAAAAGATCTAAGATTTTTGTGTGGTCATATTTGCTTCTTTTGCAATCCTCTATATTTTTCTTCGCTGTGTGTACTTTAGCATCTCCCTTTTCAGAAACTTTGCTCTGAGTTTATTAAGCTCTGATTTCATGATACATGTTCAACTGCATTCAGCTTTAGTTTTGTGGAAGAATCATGCATTGTAGAGTTTGTGTCCCAACAGATGTCAAGGTAATTAAAGTCATGCAGGTGAGTAGAGTGGAGTGCTTTAGGGCATGGTGGGGGGTTAGTTTTGCTACAGTTTTCCAAAGCTTACATACTTGCATGGTTTTGTTTTCCATCAAAAATCAATGGAAACACTTTCAATGGGATGATTTGATAGGGGTTGCAGAAAAGTAGTTCAGGGCCCACATGTGGCCTGTAGGCTATGGATTTCTGATCCCTAGCTTAAATCAACCTTACTTATGAGCTGCTTTAAAACTAGTGGGAAATACTGCATGGATCTGCTTGTAGCTAGCTCTCTTTCTATCATAATTAAGAGGAATCTAGTATGTTGTAGCTTATTGTATATCTTATTACTGACAATGTACTAGGTATCATGAGATGGGCTTCTAGTAATGGGACTGGGAATTTATGAGGGAAGAGGTATAGTGGCTTTTTAATGCAGACTGTGTATCCAAAGGCAACCCTTTATAATCTTTATAACATGATACCAAATTTATCTGAAAAGTGTCAGTATTAGCCTTTTATTAGACAAATCTTTAGAACTGTTAATATTTACGAAATGAGGCATTGAATGTAGCTCTTTTTAAGACTACAGGATGATGAACAACAAACCATTTATTTCAGCCAAATATTATAAATATATATTTAATAATCCATATGCATTTAATGTGATTATGAACATCTAAATTGAATGATTAGTGGAGAAACAAGAATTAGATAATGCTGGTTCCCTAAAATGAGAATATCTCAAGTTAAAATAATCATATAGGCCTTCCCAAGAGAGAATTATTTCCTCTTTCCTTGCCTACCAGCTTCCTTTTATCTGCACTGGGAAATTTGAGCCAACTACATTATTCACAAGCTGGCATACCCACATGTAAGTTTAACACCCCAAATAAAAATCCTCAAATGTATTCATATTTCATTTTAGGGAGGAGTTAATGTACCCTCACATCAGCATTAGTTAAACTAATTCTGAACCAGGCCAGAAATGTTTGCCTGTCTTTTGAAAGATACTAAAGCAAAGCTTTATTGCCTGCTACAAACATTGTATCAGGTCATGCTTGTAATAATTAATGGAATGTGCTAATGTGTTAGCATGGTATTATCATGATTTATGAAACTGCATAGTATGCACTAAGCACAAAGTACTGTACAGCTGTTTTGTGAACATAGAGCTAGCGGTAACCTCTTTCATGTTGGGTGGTTGAAGTTAATGCTAAGGTCTCTTCAATCTGAACTGGGACTGTAAAAATACATTTACTTTAAGCAAAAGATATAAATATCTTTGTGGAAGAAACCAGGCTGTATTATGAGCAATTTCACGTAAAATATACATTACTGGACATTATACTTTCCAACAACATGCAGATTGAATATTAAAATATTTTTCCACTGACAGTCTTCTGTGTATGTTAGTTTGGAATTCTCAAGGTACTTCATTTTTCTATAGATTTTAATAGGTATTAAGGTACATAAATCAAAATCTAAACCTGCAGTAGTGCTTGAAACCTATGAGGTAAGTGTATTGTAGCAGTTAAAATTAACACCCCATATTTGTCAAATGTTTACAATATAATCTATTTATTGTAAGGATATTTTCAAGTTTATTTCTACCAGTTCTTCTCAGGATGTGATCCCTTATTATATTATTTTATCTTTCTCATGGACTTCTGGAAAATGAAAGTTTGCTAGCATTGATGTAGGCTTCAGAGTAGCCAGTAGACCCTTTATATGCTGGTCTATTTAGTCTATTTTTAAACATGAGACTCAAGATTTTTTTGTGCATTTTTATATATAATTTAAAATAAAAATATTAGGAAATCTTTCATAGTCCTTTTTTCAGTTGTTTTTTTTTAATTCCCCAAAGCTAAAGAAATGTACTTGAAAGGGAAGAAAAGGGGGAAATGTGTTTTTACCATTGGGTTTTCTCCTTTTTTCCCCCTGACCATCACCATCTTTTTCTAGAAAAGGATCCACTTACAGAGCATGTGGCAGGACTGTAAAGAATTTCAAAGCTAGTGAAGGACATTTAGTTACAGAGTTTAGTCAAATTAATTTTCATAAATAGTGAATCGCCGTACACTTAGTTTTAGGCTTCGCAATAAAAGATGCAGAAAGTGACCTCGAAATATAATTGGTGGTTTAGAACAGAAATAACAAAAGGTTTAGTCAATAACTCATGAAGTTTGATATACTTGTATTGATAAACTAATTAAACAGAACTGGCTGTGTTCCTCAACTCTAATGGGGCTCTGTTATTATTAGTTTTAAAGGGAGGAGTGCTGTAACATTGAATGAAGGTAAATGATGAAAGAATGGTGCAGTCACGAAGCTGAAGTACTCCTGTCTCGCGTCTCCGAGTGGTTTCAAGGAACGGAGGCTTTCTCTGCACGCCTGCAGTCATTCACTATCCAGGCCTCTTGTTGTCAATGTTGATTGCTGCTTGTTCATAGTAGAACAACAAATAATTTACAGCCATGTAACCTTCTGTGATTTAATATCTTGCTTTTTGACAGAATAGACTGAAAAATATTTTTTCAGATAGTGACAATAATTATAGCACAACTGTATTTAAAGTTTTTTCAGAGTTTTTTTTTTTACAACCCCTTACGGTCTACTTAAACTTGAGAATAATTTTTTGTTCCTGTGTGTTTTAACCTATATGGGCTTTATTTAGAACTTAATCAAAGCATCATTTTTGTAAGCTGTAGCACTTCTATGATTACTTGTTTGGAAGTCTTGAATATAAAATACAGACATATCTTGTCACAGGGAATCTAGAATGTCCATTCCTTGTGACAGTCTTTATATGTGCATGTGTACACACACACACACACACACATACTATAATGCTTCATATTTCTGGAATGCAACAGTCTTACATGACCATATGGATGTACTTGTGGATGATACTAAATTTTAATATATAGATCTAAATGAACTGATTTGTTTTTCAGATTAAAAAACTTGTGTACGTCTATTTGATGCGTTATGCAGAAGAGCAGCAGGATCTGGCACTGCTGTCAATTAGCACCTTTCAGCGTGCTCTGAAAGTGAGTAAAATCAAATTAGTAAATATTCCTGTTCTAATAAAGTTGCAGCTGATTTTTAATAGAGAAAAACCAAACATATACCATTTTATTTCTAAAGATGATAATCTGGTTTATTGCCCATATATAGTGCCATTTTGAAAGCTGACATTGGTTAAATCCAGTTTTACAGGTATGGTTTTCTACTTGTATAACTGAAGTTTTCCTTCTCTTTCAGCTCCCTGCATACATTTCAGATCTGCTCAGGAGGGCTTTCCCACTCCTCTAGAGAAGTTCTGGAGTTGTACTTGGGGCTACAGGAAAGAGGATAATTTTTTCAGTGGTTATTGTATTGGCAGTCAGACATGGTTGGATCCAGTCTGATTGGACCCAATAGACTGCCCTACACATACATCAAGTCTGTGGTATTTCTCTAATTGGGTTCAAAACTTGAAGGTTTAGGAATACAATATTTTTATAAAAATTGAATGAATGACATGATTTTTTTTTTACCAAATTCCTGGTAACAACTTTGAAATATGTGAGCCATGCTCTCTTTGATGTTAACCACTGAAATAAACAGTAATATTACACTTGTTTTATATTACATAACTGCTCCTGCTTAAGCACTTATTTGAAGTATGTGTGATACACTTGTGCAACTCTAAAAGGAATGTAAAGATATTTAAGGAGGAATAAAATGTTATTAAATCTTTTAGACAACAGGGGTGTGAAAGGCAGTTGCATAATTCTGGGGAAAGGTATGGCTGCTTTTAGGAATTGCAGATTTAGAAATAACTTTAGAAATGCTGTCAGGTTATTTTTAACTGTTATGATGGTGTATTTTTCTGGACTTTACAGCTTGTGTACTCATCTGTAATGCAGATAGTGGTGACATCTCATAGAATTACTAGGAAAAAGGAACAGGATACAAGATTCTAAAATATATGCATTAATGGCAATTCATGAAAATCACTTTTCAGTATTTCTAATTGAAAGAAAAAATTGTCATTACAAGTTCTTGAACTTGCTCAGCAATTTGATATTCTCATTTTTTCTTAAAAGGATTTAATAGACAAAGCACAACAAATTAACTATGATTCTAAGCAGGTATGTTTACCAGATAATCTAAATATGGGCAATTCTATCTACCTTAATTGATTTAACTCTCTTCTTTATGTAATGGAGAATTTAAATAGTTCAGACAAGTTTAGATTGTTTTGTATCTATTATTAGATACATATCTACAATGGCTGGACTTGCTTATTTTTTTTTGGTTCTTTTCCTTTGTAGAACTGTGTCATAAAATAAGGTGTTAGGGTAAAAAATTGGAAAATACAAAAACAAATATACATGCTTTTAATAAGTGACATTTATTTAAAGATTATCAGTATTTTATTTTTATTTTAGGATCCTAATCAGTTGATCCGTGCGAGTGCTTTGCGAGTGCTGTCAAGTATCAGAGTGCCAATTATTGTTCCAATTATGATGCTTGCTATCAAAGAAGCATCAGCTGATTTATCACCTTATGTTAGAAAAAATGCTGCCCATGCAATTCAGAAGCTTTACAGGTAAGTTATCTCTGACCATGAATATAGAAGAAGTGTATTTAATGTTCAGCAGCGTGTATTACAATGAAGTTTAGATATAGTTTATCATAACTACCATCTGCTAATGGAGATAAAATCAACAAAATTACTTTGACTAAAGTGTTTTAGCATAGATGGAGAACAGTATATGCTATATATATGAAAAGTTTAATTTTACTGAGCAGCTGAAAAATATCTGATACAATTTCTTCATTTAATTTTGCTTTTTTCATTGTGCAGTAAGACAAATATCCATATTTGGTCATAACTTAGAATGAAATCCATTAGACATGTTTCTTTTTGTTCACTTAAAATATATACTTAGTCAAAATCTGTAGAATATCTGCTGACATTTTTTTATGTTAAATTTCTAGTCTTGATCCTGAACAAAAAGAAATGTTAATTGAAGTAATAGAGAAACTTTTGAAAGACAAAAGCACAGTAAGTAATGCAGAATTAGCAGCTTTATCATGAAATTAGAATTGTGATACCTTCACCTGAAATGTTAGGGCATTTAAAGCTTAAATCTGATCAGGGTGAGAGTTTAAGCTTTAGATGTAGTAGGATTAATGCTACAGTGTACTAGAAATGCTACTTTATTATGAAAAACAGATTGACATAGTGGGCAAATGAGCTGGTTGCTAGTACAGTGGTACCTCGATTCACGAACTTAATTTGTTCCATGACTCTGGTCGCGACCCGAATTGGTCGCGACCCAAATCAAATTTTCCCATAAGGTTCAATGTAAATACGGTTAATCCGTTCTGACCCCACCGAATTTGGTCGCCAACCGATTTTGGTTGCGTCCCGAATCAAATTTTCCCATAAGGTTCAATGTAAATACGGTTAATCCGTTCTGACCCCACCGAATTTGGTCGCCAACCGATTTTGGTTGCGTCCCGAATCAAATTTTCCCATAAGGTTCAATGTAAATACGGTTAATCCGTTCTGACCCCACCGAATTTGGTCGCCAACCGATTTTGGTTGCGTCCCGAATCAAATTTTCCCATAAGGTTCAATGTAAATACGGTTAATCCGTTCTGACCCCACCGAATTTGGTCGCCAACCGATTTTGGTTGCGTCCCGAATCAAATTTTCCCATAAGGTTCAATGTAATTACGGTTAATCCGTTCTGAACCATATGTATTTTTTTTTTAAAACCACAAAAATATGAAACAAAATACAGTACGAAGAGAGAGAACGCTAACCTTGCTCGCCGCGACTTCTGGTGTGGAGGACAGGAAGGCGGGTGGGGAGGCGGTTAGTGCTTGGAGGGAGAGTCCCCCTCCCTACAGGAAGCCACGACCACGTGTCATGGGAGGGAAAATGGCTGCGGATCCTGTTCGTCACCCGATCTGGCGTTCGCGAACGGAAGCAAAATTTTGTGAACGGCGCTGTTCGTGACCTGAATTGGTCATGAACAGAAGCGTCCGTGACCCGAGGTACCACTGTACCTCTATCATTTATTCTTGTTTCCCATTGCGTTCTTGTCTAGAAAGTCTGAAACCAAGAGTGAAACTTTAAAAACTAAATGTATGCAATATGAATTAGTGAACATCTAAATCCCTTCACTACCACCTCCATTATTATTTATTTATGAATGTTTATATACTACTGAGTCCACATGGAATCCTATTGACTTACACCTTCATAAAAGCTATAAAACTAACAATTAAAATAATAGCATAAAATAACCATACTGTTATCAACCCTCTGAGTGACTAGATCCTAAACACATTACAGACTGAAAGCTCTGTGGAACAGTTCTGTTCAAAATTGCTTAGATGCTATTTTCAAGATAGCTCTCTTCAGATTGTAGTGGATATCTCAGTTATGTAATTCGTTTATTAAGGCTTTATAGATTACATGCAGCAGCATGAATTCAGTAGCTAGCTGGGGTAAACCAGTCCTTGTTCAGAGGAGACAAGAAACTGTATTCTGTGTCAGATATGGCTTCTAAATAGCCTTCAATGATAGTATTTTCGTAGGAAAATCCTTATTATTAATACTTTAATTATGAAGGCATGATTATCACTTCCAAATGTAAGTCAGAGTAAAAATTGCATCCTCTTTAAATAAGGTTGAAGTAATCCCAGCTTTTAGATGAGTATTGCATTCCATACAAACTGATTAGTTGTTTGTTATTTTATCCATTTTTAAACCACTTCCTAACTCCCAGACATCTTGAGGCAGTATGTAGAAAAAATCATAAAAAGCATTTTAGGCACCTTTACATTTCAAGTTATATACATTTTGTGGGAAGAATATTTAATCTTTAGAGAAAAAATATAGAAGTGAGTAGAGAAACATAATATCTCATAGTTTATATCATAGTGGATATAGCTTCATTGATGCTTATAGGCCTTTTGGGGGCTGCAGCTGTGGATTTAAATATATATTTCTTGTAAAACAAATTGACTATCCATGTGCCCTGTGAAGACTAAATAGGATTATCTGTAGCAACTGACTCCTGGGAAGTCTAATAATTTGCAGGTCAAAAATGTGTTGAAGAAGTGGTAATAGTTTTGTCATTAAAATTACTGATGTATTCTAATGTAGAATATTTGGGAAAATGGAGCAAAATCAGATCTATTCTTTAACATGTTTAACAAATATGCAAGAGATAATGTGTAAAGTGTAATGCTTAGATTACAAATGTGTGGGTAACCTAGTGTCTTCCAAAGATACTGATTCAATGTTTGTAAAAGATTTACGCGGGGGCGCGGGGAAGTGTAACACCTGAATTTCTGCAGATGCTATATTGTGATAGATCTATTATCCAGCTATTAGAAGATAAATGACTGATCTTTACCAGCTTCCATGCTTTCAGAAAATTGAAATAAGAAGGGGAATATAATTTGGGCTATATGATTAGGGTAGGTGGGATGGCCATTAATTTAAAAGAAAAAAATGTTGGCAGTGTAGGCCAACTTGCCCCATAGTATCAATCAAACCTTGATATACTTCTTGTGATGACCCAGCACTCTCAGGTTTTTGCAGCATTAATTAGAATTCATGACAAAATAGATGCAAGGAAACATTTTGTACCCTTCATAATTTTATAGAAAATTTATTGTTATTAGAGGAACCATTTGCTTAGTGTGATTTTTTTCATTACCAGCTTGTCAACTAGCATAGATAATCTGGAGAAAATATGAACTCCATAGATTGGGTGTCACTTTTGTTGATGGTTCATGTGGTTTACCTTGGAGCACAGATAATGGCTGAAGTTCATAGCAACAGCACAGAAAAACATGGCAACCAGTGAAAGACAAATGAACCATGTTTATTGCTTTAATATATAAAAAAAAACCTTAATGGAAAGCTGTATTTGAATGTGACGAGCTCATTGCTAGTTTTGTAGGAATGATTTATATTTTCCTGTCTAGTAAAGCTACTTTTTAATTTTAATCTTGCTTGTCACTGGCATTTTATAAACTTTTTTGTTTTACATTTTAAGAGGGTAATTTAAAATTAAATATTGTTTTTATGGCATATTGAGCAATGTATTATACAGATTTGTACAAATCTATTCAGAATGATGTTCCATTGAATTCCTTTTTATAAGTTTATTTTTTAACAGCTCTCTTGAAAATACCAGTTTTTGCATGTTAATTATGAACTTAAAAATTTATGTTTGATAAACCTATTGCATCGAGAAGTTAGTTTTGTAGAGTTTAGATTTTCAGCAAAGAAATAAGTATTCTGCTTAAGAAGTGTCACCTATAACAAATAAGATTTAAAATGTATAGATTGTCTTTGGTACCATATGTGAAAACAAATGGAAGAGCACAATCCTTTGTATTTAAGATTTGTTATCTCAAATGTAAAATGTTTAATTTATCTTTATATCTGGTACTAATCCTAATAGCTAGCATTACTGATAAAGTCAGTCAAGGTAAGAAATATTAAGGACAATTGGGAAGGAAAGAAAAAAGGTAGAATAAATTTAAACAATGAAATTCCCCCCGCCTTACGAGTGATGTGATAGAAAATAAATAATCAGTTCTCTTTTTTATGGAATGAGTTCTATACATGCTGGGACCAGCAGGTTCCAGTATGGAGCAAGGCTGAAGACAATAAATGCAACGTCACGTTTATAGTTATTGGTAATTTATACAATCCCCACAGGATTTGGAACTTGTTTAGCATAATAGCAGAACTATATTCTGAGCTGTTTTCTTTCAGTTGTAATAATAGGTGCATATTAATAAACCAGATGTCAATGAAAAATAGGGAAAACCTGTAACATGAATATCATTGTATTTAATATTTTTCTGAAAGTGCCATTTCAGTAAATTGTATTTCTATTTAATTGCTTATTTTAAATCATTGGGGAAATTTTGGAGGTTGAAATGCAGATCCCTAGTTCTCTGCTAGAATGTGACATTAATTTGCAGCTAGAAACCTTCACATGCATGCTTAACTGCATATATATCAGTTGCTTCATATAGAAGCCTTGTCAGAGTATCTATTTTGCATAACATGTTGTTTGAAACAAAACAAAATTCAATTACTGCAGTTAAGGAAAAGATAATAGGTAATGCACAGTGACAAGTCATTATGTTATATTCTAACTAACAGTTAACAGAGGCAAGACATAGTATTTGCAATCATGTTTGAATTTTAAGCGTTGTGGAACATTGAAAGGTTCCTTGCAAATAATTAGTACGGCAAAAAAGAAAAGAAAGAAAGAATGTAGGAAAAAAATGAAATGAGTAGTTTATATAGGATAAAGTAATATGGTGCAAATTGTTCAGGAAGGTGATCTCTAGGCTCAGCTTCACATTTAATAATTTTCCTGATAAACTGTAGGTACAAGAAATTCAAACAGGTGCAAGCTAGATTGAGAAGGCGAGCAGCATCTTTGATTCCTCTGTAGTCAGTTCTGTTTGCTTCTGAGCTGGCCAGGGGAAAAAGGGGCCTCTCTCATTACTACCCTAGTAATAAAGCTAGCTTATGAGGAAGGAATTACAGCATTTGTTTCTATGCTGGATGGGAAGGGGACTTAGACTGAAACAAATACTTGCATCTTAGCAGGATAAAGAGTTTAGTTTTAGCGACTAACCTAGTGATTTTGTTTTGCTATTGTTTTATGCTCGTCATTGACTGAAATAAAGGAATTTACTTTCTGGTGACTAACTTATGTGTATTTATTTATTAGAAGGGTTGGAGAGTATTTTGGAGATCATCTAATTCAAACCCCTGCCCAGTGCAGGAATCCACTACTGCAGCATCCCTGACATATGGGCATCCAGTTTCTGAACACCTTCAGCAAAGGAGAGCTTATTGCCTTTTGAGGGAGTCTGTTCCATTGATGAACAGCTGTTAATGTTAGGATTTTTTCCTGATGGCCAACCAAATCCATTTCCTTGTAATCTAAATTGTTGCTTTGTGCCCTAACATTTGCTCTTTTTTTTTTTGTAGCTGCATCATACTGTTGGCTCATGTTCACCTTGGGATCCACCAAGACGCCCAGATCCTTTTCACATGTACTGCTACCCAGTATGGTCACCTCCCACCCCTATCTTATACTCATGCCTTTGATTTTTCCTAGCCAAATTTTTTCAGTTTTGAATTTTTATCTTGCTAATTTCTGCCCATTGTTCTAGATTGTCAAAGTCCTCTTGATTGATTGATATGCCCTTTAAGTGTTTGCTATTCTCTCATTTTTATGTAGAGTGCAAATTTGATAATCATGTTTTCTGACCCCTTTTCCAAGTCAGTTTTAAATATGTTGAACAGCTCTAGAATACAACCCTGTGGTTCACCAGTTAAAACTTCCTTTCATCTTGGCATGGAGCCCTTAACATTGTACAATTGTTTAATCATCTCTCTATCCATCTAAAGGTGACATAATCTATTCTACTTTTTGTCATCCTCCCTACTAGAAATTCACAGGAAACCTCACTGAATGGTGAAATAGGTCTACCACATTCTCTGTGTCATTTAAATGGGTCACCCTATCAAAAAGGGGATTAGGTTGATTTGCTGTGATTTAGACTTGATAAACCTCTGCTGGTTTCTGCCAAGCAATGCATTTCTACATGCTCACAAATCAACTGCTTAATCATTTGTTCCAGAGTTTTGCATGCTATTGATGTCAAACCAACAAGTCTGTAGTTACCTGGGTCATTTTTTTTTTCTGTTTTGAAGATAGGTTGCTGTTAGTATACTGTATATGAGTGGGAGATTATTGGAAGCAGGCAGGGCAGAGGGAGTCAATTTTTGTGAGGATAGGCAACACAACCCAGGTGTGGAGGCCATGGGAAGGAAATGTTTCCAAGAAACTGCCATAATAGACTCGCTTGGGAATTTACTATTAACACTTCAGGATTATGTTTTTACCTCTGACATTAAATATGCTTTTCTATAATCTGTGTAGTTTCTGGTTTGCCAGTGTGCTTCATGAGAGTTTGAATATTATTTGGCATAATTTTGGACGAGGTTCATGGAGAGGGTCCCAGATAATTTTCCTATCACAATACAGTGTAATACATTCCTAACAGTAGCAGGGAGATATATGTTTTTAAAATGTTGATATTGCAAATATTACATTGAATGAAATCTTGAGACTCTGTCTCATGTTCTCAGCAGTTTCCTAAATCTGAGCATGCTTCTCCAGTCACTAGACCAAGGTGGATTCCTGATTTTGCTCACTGCTGCAAAATTCTTTCTATTCTAACAGAGCCATCTCTTGGTTAATTTTGATAGGTTTTTGAGACAAACATGGTACATGTGTGAAGATCTCTTAAAGATCGCTATTGTGAATTATATCAGATGCTTCAGTCCAAATATATAGCTTGGTGAAGGATTATGCAAACAACTTTCATTCCCTGGCACAAATCTGGATTGCATGGAGACAGATGGAATATTTGCAAGTTATGTATAAAATAAGACAGATCTGGTGATATTTATTTTTTTCTTTCTGCAGTTTCAAGTTCATCTATATTCCTAGTATTGACAATAAGCAGGATGATGCCTTATCTTACAACTTGGAATGCAGTAGGACTGGAGAATGAGCTCTTCTTACCACAGTGTTAGGAATTTGGAAATGCTGATTTAGGGTAGATTAAACAGAGTTGGAAATCCATATCTGTAGAACTGTTATTGGGAACTCCGAATCATCCTAGGCCAAATCCTTTTCATGGATTCAGAACATTTTTCATCACTAAAACTGACTGGATGAGCCTCTTAGAATCTGCATGGTGAAGTTTTGTAAATCTGCAGTGATAGCCTTCCAGTGATTATTTGGGGTTATTTAAAGTTATCCAGTGATTTTAAGAGAACTCGGATGACCTTCATTATGGACAAACATTGAAAAAATTGGTCGTTTGCTTGAGAATTTCCCTATCTGGGAAATCTGCTGGTTCTCTGCTACTCTTGCTCTCGCTCAGGGCTGCAAAAAACTGTCCCTATTTTCCGTGCTGGCATAACTAGCTGCCAGCCAACAAGATAGCAAGCTGGATGCCTACCACAGTCCAGTGAGTCAATGTTACCAGTATCTTAAGATGGCAACTGCAGATGTAGTCAACAGGCTTGGCACAGGTTCAGATTAGAACTCCATTTATCAGACAACAAATGTGAGGGGAGAGACAGGAGACACAAGTGGAGTGGAATCCAGACTTATAAGCATGGCACACCAAGGTAAACACAACAGAGCTGAGGCTTAAAAAGTTCTCAGTGTTTTCTCCCAAGAGTATGGCCAATAAACCAGTCATGCTGAGCCTCCACTCAATACCCATGAGTCACATTACACATCAGAATCTGCTCTTCTGCCAGCCTGCTTCTTGACAAGCCTCTCAGATCTGCAGAGTTCATCACACTGCTGTTGGGTCTTTATTATACACCTCTGCTTAGGACTTGGTAACTGAACTTCAGATTTTGAGAAACTGTCAGTGGATGCAGGCAAGAAATCTGGGGTTTCCTAGATTTGCCTCAGCCAGAGCAAAGTCATTGGCTTCAACAATGCTGGAATCATTGCAGGATTTTTGTCACTAGATGCCCCTGGCTCTATTTCTGCCCCATTCCCCTCATCTGGTAACATCTCCATCAGGGCCATAGCATTCTATATTTCCAGACCTGATACTGTTACAGACATTTATTCCAAGATTGCTCACTTTGTCCCTTGCTCTGGGTTGACATCAGCCAAAGGCACTGTTCATCAGTTCATTCAAGGTAATATCAGCTGTTGTAGCTATCTTAGACATTTTATTTCAGATAGAGGTACCCAATTTGTAGCAAGTTACATCTGTTTTCAGCTTGCTGTCCACAAATTCACTGTCAGACAGAGCACACCAGTGCCACCTTAAAATAACAGTTACTCTGATGCCTTGATTAACAATAGGACAGCTTTGGTTTCAGAATCTCCTCTTGCAGAATTTGCTTACAACAACCTACAGTTTTATATATATATATATGTGGTACATGTCAAGGGCTGCCCCCAGGCTCTCTGCAATAATACTTTCTCAGCAACTAAGTGTTTTCATGGAAAGATAAAAACTTGACTTCAGTAGATAATATACTCAAAGATATAAGTAACTATAGTAATAAAGAGCAGATTTTATAAAAGTTAAGATCTGGTTCTATGTCCCAAGGTTTTGGCAGGCTTCACTCATACTGTTACTTGAACTCAAAGGCTAGCAGCAATTAAGGTAGACTTCTACATATGTTAGCAGTTTTGTGGAAGAACTATAGAATCTGATCAATGGTAGAAGCATGTAATTCTTTCTAATGTAATCTGTGCAGGCATGAAGAATTTAGCTCTTAACCCTCTTTTGGTCTTGATAGTTTGCAAAGCCTCTGGCTTTGCTGCACTTTCTGGAAGAAAACTAGATTTTTAAGATACGGGTAATGTCAAAGATATAAAATACAATTCTGCAATTATATGTGGACAGAGCGCTAGTCTAATCTCTTCAGTATCACTTTCTGTCCCGCTTTTTGATAATCTACTTCCCTCCTAGAGCCTGTTATATTTAAATTTAGAATAAGATTCTTAGCCAAAATTACTGACTTATATGTGTTTAAATTATTTTTCTCTAGCTTGTAGCAGGGAGTGTTGTGATGGCATTTGAAGAAGTATGTCCAGACAGAATAGATCTGATTCACAAGAACTACCGAAAGCTGTGTAATCTGCTAATTGATGTAGAAGAATGGGGACAGGTTGTTATTATTCACATGCTGACTCGGTATGCACGAACACAGTTTGTGAGCCCTTGGAAAGAGGTAAGCCACTTAAAGACTTATTTGGATAGCTCTGTGTTGCTAAAAGCAGATTTTATGTCATATATATATGCAGATTCAACACTTTCTGTAAAGTAATGGTAAAAGAATGCCAAGAGTCCCTGTAAATATGATGCATCCTATACTGCCTACTGCTTTGGCACTTTGAAAGTGCTGCCTGTACATCCAAAGCTGCATATATGTGTGTGGCAAAAGTATGTGAAGCTTTGCGTTCAGTAACTGGTATGCCCCCCCTTAGGCTACAATAACTGCAAGTACAGGTAGTCCTCATTTAACAACTGCCTCAGACAGCGACCATTTGCAGTTATGGCAGTAATGAAAAAGTAACTGCGATCAATGCCTGCATATATGACCTTATCATCATCTCTCTCTCTGTCACGTGTTTGCCATTACAGTCAATTAGTGGGGTTGTCCTGTGCCTGACCCATTCCCCACCCCCCCATCTCACCCCCCCTTCTAACAGAGCAGGGAGATTGCCTAACCAAGCAATCTCTTCCTAAGCTGCTTTTTTCCATAATGCAGTGGGTCCCTTAAAAGTGCTAACTGCAAGTTAACAAGCTCAGCTTTGTGACCTTAATTAGTTGATTAGAACACTTGGCTGGCTTGCAGCTGCTGCCTGAAATTGACAAGACTCTAATCAGTTTCACAGTAAACGCTTTTTGCTCCCTGGTGGGCTCTCCCTTCCATTTTTTCTGCGGGTAGACCAGTCCTCCATCTCAGGAAGGTGGGAAGACCAGTCCTGCCTTTGGCCACCAGGTAGATTGAGCCAGCTTTAGCCCTCCAGCAGGACTGAACTGGGCTTTTGGCTTTTTTTTTTCACAGCACAGAGCAAAAGCCCCGCCCCGCCCAGGAGCTTTTTGCAATGGTGCATTTTGGTGCACTGCACTCCAGGAGCTTTTTGCAAAGGGGCTTTTGGAAGCAAGAAGATGGCAAAGGTCAGCTGGGTTGGTGGAGTGCAAGGTGGCAGGGGTCTCGGAGTGCAGGATGGCAAGGGCGACTGGGACTGGGCTGGGATGGCTGTGGGTTCCTGGGGCATAGCAAGCAGCCCCAGAGCTGCAAGGTAGGGTGCAGGGTGGCCAGAAGGGCAGAGATGAGGGGGAGATAAGTGGGTGGAGGGAGTTGGAGGCAGTTTCTTACCTTACTGAGGCTCAGGACTGGGAGGGACCAAGCCCAGAATGGCTTGGATTGGGGTGAGTACTCACTTAATGACCCACAATTCACAGTTATTGATGGCAACTGGGAGTGCTGAGATTGCGGTTGCTAAGCAATGTGGTCACGTGACATATCGCTTTACAGCCACATCACTTAGTGATAGAAATTCTGGTCCCAATTGTGGTCATTAAGTGAGGACTAACTGTATAGCCTTTATTGGTGACATGAAGACTATATGGTCATATTTATAATAAAGCAGTAAGATTGTTTCAGACTTGGAGATGTCTTTTCTCCCAACTTACTATTCTTCTCATAAGTACATATTATTTTATCATACTGTGGCACAGCATAATGTGGCTATCTTTATGACCTGGATGGAGAGGATTGAAATAAATACTGTCATTGCTGAACTGATTACACTGCTTCCATTAAATCAAGAACTAGGGTTTTTTTTGCTTTTCAATCTGCTCACCAAAATCATATATCCAGATTTATTCTGGTTATTTTGTCTTATATTCCCACAACTTTCTATTTCATAATTTTCTTTAACCAGTGATTGAAGAAAAAATACTAATAATTGACAAGGATTTTTTCTTTTGTGATTCTGAGAAACTTGCATTCAAAACACACACACACACACAAACAGGATGTTGTTTCATATAACTTCTACTAATAAGGCTTGTATTCAGTAGTACCCTGCATTCCCGCACCTACTACATGACCCCCAGGTCTTCTTTGGAGGCTCTGAGATGCAAATAATGGTCATAGAATCGAAGGGACTTCTAGTCCAACCTCTTTGCCGAGGCAGGAATCCTCAGATCAGACACTCAGAGAAAAGGTGTCCAACTTCCTTTGAATACCTCCAGTGATGGAGCACCCACAACTTCAGGAGATAGGTTGTTTCACTGCTTAAAAGCGCTCATAGTCAAGAAATACCTCTTTATTTCAAATTTGAGTCCCTCTCTGTAAAGCTTCCATCCATTTGCTTTTGCCCTACACTCAGACACTACAGAGAATAAATCCACACCCTCTTCCTTATGATAGCCCTTCAGGTATTGAAAGACTGCTATCATGTCGCCCCTTTGCTTTCTCTTCTTTAGGTTAAACATTTGCTTTCTCTTCTTTAGGTTAAACATACCCATTTCTTTTAAAGGTTCTTCAACCTGCCAGGTTACCCAGATCCCTTTTTTGAGTGTAATGCTGATAGAATCACAGATTCATAGAACTGAAAGGTACCTTAGGAGTTATCTAGTCCAACCCCATATTAGTGCAGGATCTACTACATCATTTTTGAGAGATGACTGTCCAGACTCTGTCTGAAATTCTCCAGCAATGGAGAACTCATTATTTTGTGTAGCAGCCTGTTCCATTGGCCTCCAACTCATATAGTAAGGAAGTTCCTCTTGATGTCTAGCATGAACCTACTTCCTTCTAATTTTAACCCATTGGTCCTGCCCTTTGGGCAACAGAGAATAATCCTGCTCCCTATTTTGTGTGACAACCTTGCTTTCATATCATCTTTCAATTATCTGTTTTGTACGCAAAACCTATCCAGATCCTTTAAGTGTTTCTCACAGGGCTTGGAGGCTAGATTCCCCAATATTTTGGTAGTGGTGTTCTGAACTTGTTCAAGGTTCCCACTGTCCTTTTGGAACTGTGATGCCCAGAACTGGACATGGTATTCCAAGTGAGTTGGAGCAGAGTAGAACAGAGCAGAGTGAAACAATCACTTTTCATGATCTCATAATCTATGTACCTGTAATAGCACACCAAGATAGCATTTGTCTTTATAGCAGTTGTATCACCACTGGCTCATATTTAACTTGTGGTTGACAAGGCCACCCATCCTTTTCACATGTACTCTTGCCAAGCCAGGTTCACCCCCATTCTATACTTGTCCCTTTCATTTTTTTCCCCCAGATGCAGAACTTGACATGTCTCCCTATTAAAATTCCATCCTATTCATTACTGCTCAAGCCTGTCTCTGCCTTTTAAAATCTTCTCTCTCTGCTCTAACTTATTAGCCACCCCTCCTAGCTTTGTGTCATCTTCAGACTTGATAAGTGACCCCTCAACTCACTCATGCAAGTCATTGATTAAAATGCTGAGCAGCAGAAGGCCCTGAACAGAGCTTTCTGGCACTCCACTCAAAACTTCCATTTGAGAAATTGAAGTGGAGCCGTTAAGAACTCTTTGGATGTGGTTATTCAGCTAGTTCTGAGTTTGTATAACAATGATATTGTCTGTCCTATAGTTCATTTTTTCTTCTTTTTATAAAGCAGGTTATGATGAGAGAGTTTGTCTAAGGCTTTGTTGAGGTCCAAGTACTGTATATCTACAGCATTCTCCTGATCTACCAAACTAGTAACTCTATTTCTCCAACAACCAGTGCAGCTGCTATTAATCATAGCATGCCTATCCAAATGTCTAAAACATGTGGTTTAATAATCTGAGAACCTTGCCTGTTATATATGTCAAGCTGACAAATCTATAGCTTCTTCTTTTTTGAAGATGGGGACGATATTTTATATTCTCTAGTCTTCATGGATTTTGCCAGTCTACTCAGGGATTACAATCCTGTAGTTCCTTCAGTCCAGTATACAGATTTGACTTTTCTCAGTTCTTCCCCCTCTAGATGTCACAAATTCAAGGATAACATGATCACTTTCCCCAAGGTACCAGTCACCTTCAGTTCTTTCACCAATTCCTCTTTGTTCTTTTTTCTACCTTCTGATAAATGAAGATGTCAGTAAGAGAGGACAAGAATTTGTTGGACCTCTGATTCTTGGCTGAGTTAGATTCCCAGTGGATGTCAGGATAATTGAGATCTCCCATTACCCTATTGCATGCCTCTTTGAAAGACTGGTCATCTGATGCAGAAAGACCTCATATCTTCTGCTTGGCCAGGTGATTTATAAAAAAAACTGATAGTATCACTGTTGTACATAGGCACTTGCAACAACATTTCCATGTTCTGATTCCTGAATTTCTGCTCAAGTGTATAGTTTTTCTATACATACAATTGCAATATCCTTACCCTTTCTGTTAGATTTGTATCTTTTGAAAAATTTGTAGTTTTCAAGTGCCAATGATTAGGATCATCCCACCAGTTTCAGTAATGCCTCTCATATGGTGGGACTGGCCAACAACACCCACACATGCAAACATATCTGATAGGGGCCCCAACCATCCTACCTCAGGTCTTCAAGGCTTTCTGCAGTGCCAGGGAGGGAGCCATCCATCTGGAGTCAGGCGGTGCCTAAATCAAATAAATAAATGAATAAGCAGACTTCTTATTAATTTAGTTGCTAAAATATCAGAAGGAAATCTCTAAAACCTATCAAGCAGCAGGCCCCCATGTTTTTTTCTAGTACTTTCTTGAATAAACATATAACAAGCTTCTTATGTAGTAGAACAGATTTTAATTTAGTTTATTTGCATCATTATAGATCAGTATTTAGTCTGTTTATATGTAAATGTATGATTTGAGGAACAATTAAATGTTGACAAAGTATATTGCAGTCATATCAATTGTACTGCATTTTCCATAATTTTTCTAACTGACATCTTTGATAAATAGTGGTTGCCAAGTCAAAATCGATTATACAGTGCACTAGGAATTCATGGTGCTGTCAGGGAGAAGACCGATTGACTTTAAATTTACATATTAATGAGAAGATTTGTTAAGGGGGTGCTTGACTATAGAAAATAACAGCATATTTATAGGGCACGACATTTTATAAAAAAAGCTGATGCAGGAAAATGGAAATTAAACCTTTCAGATTAATACATTCAAGAATGTTAAAATGCATATTTGCATATTTATTTTCTGAATTTACCTTTCTTTCCAAGCAGATTTCCTCATCTTCCTTCAAGTTAAATGTGTATCTCTCTGTAGATTAATAATTTTGAATTACTTTGCTTCAGTTGCTTAAGAGATCCAACAAACAAGGGGGAAAAAAACAATTTCCAATGTATTTCTTAATTTTGTTAAATGTCCTTTAATTTTTACTGTGACAAGATAATGAATTTCATTTTGACATTAGAACCTGTGATGGTACAGAAATACTAATCTTAAAAAAATAAGATTAGTGTCTTTTTTGCCCACTAAAATGAAAATGGTTTAATACAAGTAAATTTGTTGAAACGGCTTTTTACTGAACATTCAGCAATAAATTATAAATAAACTTTAAATAGGACTTAAAATATTGTTTGCTTAAATGGAATTAAAGCTGTAGACAGGCTGCCTAATCTGGTTTGGGTCTTGATCCTGGGCTCTGAAGTACCCTGATCTGCTCTGTATTGGCTTGGAATAAGTGCTTTGTTCCAGCTCATTCCCAGTTCAGGAGTGTGCATTGGAGAAGAATAGAGCCCTCAGTAGTGTTTTTAGAAATCTTTAAAAAATAACCACCCCTCTCAGAGTTGTTGGTATCACCAACAAAGATAGCAAACAGCTTGGAAACTAAATCTTATGAAGAACAATAAAAAGAAGTGGGCATGTCTAGTCTAAAGAAAAGAAGGCTAAGGGAAGACATGTTAGCAGTCTTCCAACACGTGAAGGGCTGTCACAGGGAAGAAGGTGTGGATTAATTCTCGATAGTCCTCAAGGGTAGAACAAGAACTGGTGAGTGGAAGTTTTATAGAAGAGATCCAAACTTGATATAAGGAGGAATTTCCTGATTGTGAAAGCTATTAAACAGTGAAACAATCTACCAGAGTTGTGGATGTGTCAGTTCCACTAAGTAAAACAGACTAGGAAATCAATTCCACAGGAAAACTAGAACTACTTTTATGGAGATTGCTAGAATAATAGAATCTTGCAAGTCTGATTGCACTATACTTCTCTCCCCTCCGCCCCACCCCCTTATATCCTAGTGAATCAGGGAGGCATCTGCCTGAGCCCCTTCAGAATATTACCTTATTTCTCAGGACATAAAAAATGTTTATCCTTTGCCTAGATAATGGTTCTTGCATGTTTCCATCAAGATTTCCATATTCTTTACTCTCTACAGAATGCTCCATCACTGGAGCTTTTCAAACAAAGGTTGGCAGCCATTTATATGGCACAGTCTGAGGATTCCTACCCTGGGTCCCTACCATCCTATGATTCCTCTATTCTTTAACTGAGGCTTAGCCACTGACAGGCAGCCAGACCTCTTTTTTCCCCTCTCTTTGTCTTCCTGCCCAGTAGACAGTTGACTGTCTATAATTTCTTTATAGGAACTCTATAGAGATGGGCTCAGACTGAGACTTCCTTTAAGCTACCATATCACCATGCAGACCTTCTATTTCCAAGATTCATGAAAGAAGCTGGTCACTGTGGAAAGAAAAGGGAGAGGTGATGTTCTCTCAAAGCCCCATCTGTAAACTCCTCTAATATCCCTTCTGGCTACAGTGTCCTCACTGTCTTTCATGTTAGATTGGCTTAGTCTAGATCAAAAGAATGTTATCTGTCTTCAGTTGCATGAGTTAAAAATTATCCTAGGTTTTCATATTTCATCCAGTTTCACCCCAAGCTGGAACACAGTCCTACTTGGAACTGTTGTAACTTTATGGATTTTTTAAGATCTTCTGATCTTGTCTGGCAGCTTCAATGAGTAAATGAAAATTGTGAAAATGACTAAAGCACCATGAGCAGCCTTAATTCATAACATCTTCAGTGGCCCTCAGAGGTTTGATTGTGATTGGGCAGACTTCTGACTCATAACCCACTAACCAGGAAAAGAATCTCAGGGTCATATAAGATAGCTCAGTGAAGATATTGACTCAGCATGTGGCAGCTGTAAAGCAAATTACATGATCGTGATCATTAGGAAAGGATTGAAAATAAAAGTATGATATGTCTACATTGGAAATAATTGTGTACAGTTCTGATCACCACAGAATACAGTTGGAAATTGTGAAAGACTTAATTAACTGTGGCATGGAAACTTACCTAGAGGTTGGTAGGTAGGTTTGTTTGGTTTTTGTAATGTCATACTACCTATAAAGAACTAGAGAACAATTTTTAATCTTTTGTTAGGTTCTTCATGGAATATAAGTTGCGTTCAAGAAATTTCCGTCTTGGAACGTGTTCTAATTATGAAGTTTTTAAAAAATGGCATAGATGGTCTATAATAAAAACTTAATATTTAATGTATTCTTTAAGTTGTATTTTCATGCTGTATCTCCTATTAATTAGAGTTTTGTGCTTTTATGTACCAGATACTAGATATTTGGTCAACTGAATTGCAAAGATCCAACAAACAAATAGATCCTTTTTCCTTTAAATTGGAAAAAAATCCCTTGATAAATTGAAACTGGTTTAAAAATAAAAAGTAAAATAATGAGTGTTATTTCCCTTTATAGGATGCTGCTCTGGAAGAATACAATGAAAAGAATTTCTATGAATCTGACGAGCAACAGGATAAAGATCCAAAAGTGAACAAGCTCTATTCTATGGATCCAGACCACAGATTACTGATAAGAAATACAAAGCCTTTACTACAAAGCCGGAATGCTGCTGTATGGTTAATTTCATTCACAAAATATATATTTTCATTTAGCCAGATAGTTGGATTTAGAGTTAAGCACAAGTATCAGGGTTAGTAGAAGCTGTCTTTGCTTTACTCTTTCTTCTCAGTGGCTCTCTTGAACTTCTAACAATGTCTTATCAAGAGTCCTTGCTGAGTAGGTGAATGGGATGAGCTATTTTGTAATGAAGTGGGATTCCTCCAGATTAGCTAAAAACAAGTGAACACTCCTTCCCCTGGAAATACGGGTCTACCTGATTCTTTGAGATGATCCTTCCTAAGCCACATTTTGTTTTGTGCCATTCAGCTCCTTGGCTCTTTGTGGACCATTTGGGGAATTCTGGGACAGCTATTATAGGAACTTGGAGAGAGAAATTCACTTCCACCAGCTCTGATATGTGTGCTTAACAACCAATGAAAAGGATCTATATGCCAGTTTTTAACAGAGCCCAATTTAGAATCTCCTCTAAAAAAATGTTCAAAAGATTTTTTAGCCCTTCTTTGTGGATTTTCTTAAAGCAAGCATGTTAATTTTCTTAGTTGTCAGTAATGGGCAAGATGTATTAAGCATATACAGAATTTGTACATGACCATAGTAGTTTTGGCTTTTAATTAATCCCCTCAGGGTAGGCAGAAGGAAATTTATATATTAAGCAAATTAGAATTGCTGTTCAATTTTGAGACCTCCCTAAGGGAATAGAATAATGCTGTGAACCTATGGTATTTAAAAATCAATCCATTTTTGACATTGAATAGAGGAGCTGTCTCTTTATTATAAATGAGCTTCTTTTTAGGATTTGTCTGTTTTTCTATCTTATTTACTAAGTTTTTAAAGCAAATCCATCATGGGATCTTGAATATTAGGCCTAATTAGTGGGAAGAGTGTTGCACGTAATTGCTATGAATGCAAACACTTACCTCAATGTGAACATCCAAATCTTGTTGCTCCATGGACAACATTGAACGGACAGAATGTTTCTTGTGATGGACAAACAAAAGGACACACACCAAACCAAGAAGATGAAAAAGATGCATGTATAAATATACTTTATTACAAACTCCCAGTCCTGACATGTTTTCGTGGAAAAATTGGCACACCATATGCTGTAAATGCCATGTCTGCTGTAACTTTTGTCTGAATAAGAGTTTTTTTTCCTCAAAATACATTTGGATTAAGATTTTGTTTTAAAGGATAAATGTGCCACATTTTTTTTCACATTTCTTGGATTGGAAATTGGATGTCCATCCTAGTCCAGCCATGGTGGTCATTACATACACTTTTGAGGAATTCACATCTTTCAAGTGTAGCGGGAGCCATAAAAATATTGCAGCGTCATCAACCTATTTGCTAGAGTTAAAAAACAGTTTTATTGCTTAAGACCATTTTAGAAAATAAATTTTATAAATATTCAAAGCACATAATCTTTGGATTGATCTCTGTAATGTCAGTTAATTTGTTTTATTGGAATGTGAAGCTTGATATTGAAAACTTCAGTATATAGCAGCCAAACGGGTTATCTCAAAGTTCTTATTGTATTTGTGTAAATATGTTGGATAAATGTAGGGAATGGGAGACACTCATTTCCTCATGGGCTTTCACTAAGTGTTGTGTTGCAAAGTTTGCTTTGATGATGCAAGTAGCCTGAGGAAGGATTATTTTTCCTCCAAAATACTGGAATTATGTAGATAAAATAAGCATTTGGAGATAATTTTTCTTATCAGACAATAGAAGTTGAACAATTCAAAGTGCTGTTATCACCTGCAAAGCTCTTCATGGCACCAGGGACAAGTTATTTTCAGGACTAACTTCCGGCTGTTTTTGCCCATCTCACAGGGTCCAACAAGGTGGGCATGCTAAAGTTCTCCTCTATGAAACATTTGATGGGACCCTGGAGGCATCTCCCTTCTGTTATGGTGCTTGCCCTATAGAATAGCATATCCCCCAAGATTCAGATAGCCCCAATCCTGCTGACCCTTTGTAAGGCCCTGAAAACTTGGCTCTTCCCCCAGGCATTGGGCCTTAGTGTTGAATGAGCCCATTTTTTCTAAAAATGGAGGTTATGACTGATCAGCCTCAGTTGTATTATTTTCTCTGTTTTTATTTTCTCGTTGGTTATTTTTTGTCTTTCTGTTCAATCTCATGTAAGTGAGCCAGAGTTGGAATGGTGAGTTAGATGGCCAAGTGAATTAGTCAGTCAAACAAATAAATAAAACATAGCCTTAAAAATAAAATAATAAATGTCCTTTCAAGATACAAAGGGAATTAACATATTCTGTAGATAAATATCATCAGCAAATAATCACTTTTTTTTAAGGTGGTGATGGCAGTTGCGCAGCTTTATTGGCATGTGGCACCCAACTCTGAAGCTGGTGTAGTCGCTAAGTCATTAGTGCGTTTACTTCGGAGTAACAGGTAAATCCTTTTTTTTTTTTTTTTGTTAGCTGTCACTGATCATCCCAGCTTTTGAAATGTTAGACCAGATATAGCTATCAGTTATAAGGAGATGAAGTAAACATATACAACATTTGAGAAGTATTATATTCTGAATTAACTAACCTTTTAGAGGAAGTAATATAGAATACTAATAATATAATAGTAGTACCATAAATTATAAATTTGCTTAAGTCCCAGAAATTGTTGCGACTGCATACCTAATTCACATGAAATAAGACTGAGCTATAATATGGTTTATTTTTGGCTTAGCATGATGTAGAAAGGCAAAAGCATGATCATTCATTAGATTTATATTCTGTAGTTTGTTTTGTGGGGTTGGTTCATGCATTCAACCAAACTAAAATAACACTAATCAATATTGTGATTTCCTTATGTGGAACAAAGTATAATAATTGAACCACAAGATTTCTTTAGACACTACTGCTACTATTATTACATGCTATTTCTTATCAATCCTTATATCTTCCACATAGCTAGTACATATTAAAATGAAATCAAACAAGTTCTCCTTTAAATTTAATTTGAGAATCCAGGTTTAATCAGGGATTTCAAATACAGGTTTAGGAGTCTATAGTAATGTTTGCAGTAACAATATATATATATAGTAATGTTTGCAGTAATGTGATGGTGCAAGGGCTTAATGACGCGGGAGTTGCCGGTCAGAAATGATTGGCTCTCCAGCGGTTCGAGCCCAGCTCCGTGGGACAGAGTGAGCTCCTGTCCCTTGTCCTAGCTCCTTGCTCACCCAGCAATTCAAAAGTTATTCCATGTGCGAGTATATAAATGGGTGCTCCCGTTTAGATGGGAGGAACCGGCGGTGCTGCGCAGGGGAGCAAAAAAACGGTGGTGGGTGGAATCTCGAAGCCACCGGCATGGGCCGCGGGGGAGGGATAAGGGGGAGGGGAAAGCCGGGGAGCCC